GACCTTAGGGATCTTCCCATGCCAACAACTCATTTTACAAAGATCCCAAGGTCAGAAGACAAGACATGCCAAGGTCAACTATTGTCCTCTAGAGAAGACATGTGAAATGTGATGCTGGTACTAGTATGATTCCCAGAAACCACGGGGCTTTATTACTGACAATCAGTCACAAACTCAAACAGAACGGGCCCATCAATAAGAAGATACTGAGAGCTCGGAAATGGCTCCCCTTAGGCACTATAATTCAATTCCACGACACACACAAAGGCACACACCCACACAGAGAGCTAACTTCCAAGATGTCTCTACCTCTTCCACATATTCAGCTAACAGTTGTGAAATTAACATTATTTTCAACAACCAAGTCACATTCCAGAAGTCAAATTTTAAAAATATAAAGTTCAAGTGTTTGTCCAATACTCACTGGTAAACAGAGTTTTGAAATGATGAGAAATACTCACTTTTGCTTCTCTTCCTATTGGAAGTAGCAAGAACACAGAGAGAATGAAATCACCCCGGGAGCTGATCAGGAGTTAAACAGAAGAATGCAGATCTTTAAGAAACGTTCGCTGTAGGCCGGTGCCGCGGGCTCACTAGGCTAATCCTCTGCCTGTGGCGCCGGCACACCAGGTTCTAGTCCCAGTCAGGGCGCCGGATTCTGTCCCGGTTGCCCCTCTTCCAGGCCAGCTCTCTGCTGTGGCCCGGGAGTGCAGTGGAGGATGGCCCAAGTCCTTGGGCCCTGCACCCACATGGGAGACCAGGGGAAGCACCTGGCTCCTGGCTTCGAATCAGTGCGATGCGCCGGCCGCGGCGGCCATTGGAGGGTGAACCAACGGCAAAAAGGAAGACCTTTCTCTCTGTCTCTCTCTCTCTCACTATCTACTCTGCCTGCCCCCCCCCCCAAAGTTCGCTGTAATAATTCTTTTGCTAACAAACCCATGAGGGATCCAAACTCCTTAGTCTTAAAACAGACCAACCTTGCAAAGGAGACTTGAAAAGCAAAGGAAACAGAAATGCCTTTTGTAGGGTAGGCATTTAGCTTAGCAGTTCAGATGCCCACAGAGCATCCGGCTGCAGCCCTGGACTTGGCTTCCTGCTAATGCAGACCCTGGGAGGCAGCAGGGATAGCTCAAGTGACTAGGTTCCAGCGACCTGGAAGGAGTTCTCGACTCCTGGCTGGGGCCTGGCCTGGCCCAGCTTTGGCTAGTGCAGGTATTTGGAAGAGTTAACCAGTGAGTCAAAGATCTCTTTCTTCCTCTCGAATAAATTAATAAAAGTGTGAGACTGACCAAATACCTTTAAAAAGAAAGCAATGCTTTTTTAAAATATATCTAGGACACAGTATGTTTGGCTGTTTTTAAATGTGCTCTCTTCCAAAGCCTGAACCACTTGTTGTAGATAGGACAGGAGACCCGCCCTTTCCCGATTAGGGACCTCTCTCTTCCCTGGAGAGGGAGCGGAACAGCAAAGGTTAACAACCTGGAGCTGACAGTCACACAGCACAGGAGGCTTTATCACGTAAGCCAGGGCTCCCAGAGCTGCCAGGTCAGGACTCGGATCTGTGAGTTAGGCTACCCGAAGTAGGTCATGGGGTTGCAGCCATTCCTTTGGAAGGCTTTTTTTGGTGTTGCTCCATGGGAATTTGTCGATTGTGTCTCTACTTAGAGATAAAAGCACAGGTAAAAAAAAAAGGGGGGGGGGAGGGGAGGCCCACAGAGGAATGGCAAATAGTCATACCTAGTTACTTCTGACAATTTGAATTTTCTGAATGTATAAAAAGACCGAGAAAACTTCAACACATGCTGACTTTTTCACTTCACTGATTTTTGTTACCAATGGCTTTCTGGCCTTAGATGTTTCGTTCACTCCAGCACAGAGCGCTTCCACATACATCCTACTACTGGATGATAACTAAAGCATCAACAGCCTTCAAGGTCACAATTTCTAACCACATGAAACCTCAAGACTTTAAAGGCCCAGATTTCCCTCAAAACGTGTTAAATGTTCGATTTTTATCATTAGCTTCCCTACTCAGTTCAATAGTTTAGTTAATTCCATTTATAATTAGCTCAATATACAGTCACATCTATATAACAGCAATGAATATCTAAGAAAAAAGTATGTCACACTTTGCCCTAAATCTGCCAACACTGCAATCTCCATTAACTGGATGTGAGGAAGAAAGCTCAAAGCAAACAATGGCCTTAACACAACTGGTCAAGAAAACCCGAAACAGAGCTGAACTGTGATTAAATATTGAAATGTGTTCAGATTAACGAGGCCTTAATATTCTCATCTGCAAAAACACACAGGTCCTGCCAGACTACCTGGACAAAAGAACATTCTACATTATTTAGCATTATTTACACTATTAAAGTGAGTGAAGTGCACACCACTCCAGGGGTGAACCCTGCAACATTCTGCTGACCCTACAGAGGCCACATATCGCATGATTCCAATTATATAGTGTCCAGAGCGGGCAGGCAGACAAAGGAAGTGCATTAGGGGCTGCCAGGGGCTGGGAGGCAAGGGCATGGGGAGTGACCGCTAACAGGTACAGTTCCTTTGGGGGGTGATGAAAATGTTTTGAAATTAGACAGTGGCACCTCTGTACAACCTAGTTGGTATCAAAAAATCCACAGAACCGTGAGAAGTCAACTGAATTAAAAAAAAAAAAGAGCTGATTTAAAAGACCCCTTCAGGTCTAAAGTTCCCCTCCTATACAACTGCTGGATTCCCTTGTTGCTGCTACATTCGAGATGCCTACAGCACAGCAGGGATGTGCTTCCTCCCTGGGAAGGTAAAGGAAGGTGGCATGCAAGCAAAAGAAATCCACAAAACCCAAAACTCAGGTTTCCATAAGCATTTATTTTAAACCAAGAAGTGCTAGTAACAGGAGCCTTGATGGTAGTCTATGCACAATTATTTTTGTAATGACCTCAGGTAACAAAGGTTGGGGCTTAGGCAAAACTTGCTTCCCGGCTCATCCCAATCAAAGGCCCTGTTTTAGTAAAACTACAGTGCTGTTAACTCTCATGCCTAGGCTCAAATGAGATCAAGTACACAGAACTAGTTAATACACTTCTTACCAGCTCCCCCTACAGCACACGCCCAGATTTAGCCTAACATCTAAACTGCCTTGATTTCTTCACCTGTTAGCAACTGTTATCTTGCTTCAGCTCTGAGAATGAAATCCTGGTCAGAATTTGAACTAGGGACATGATAACTGACCACAAACTACTTAGCTTCTCTCTGGCACAAGGACAACTAAAGGGACTGATTACCACAAAGCCTGTCTGAGGAGACGGGCCACCCCAATGTCATTCCCTCCAGCACTTATAGCTGCGGCCCAGCAGACTCCTGGATCACGCGAGAGACCACCACTGCTTTAGGAAAGGGACACTGAGATACTCCCCTCGCAGCCCCTCGCACAGGCAGTGCGATGACTCCTGGAGGCTGACTTGGCTCTAGACTGGCTTCCATTTGTCAGCACCCAGACCCTTTGCCCTCACCAGCTGACCTGACACACTACTTGGTCAAAGTCACACACTACCAAGTTTGCTTGGAAGAGTGAGTTAGCAATTAAGGATAAATGCAAAATATGTTGGTTTTCTAAATTATTGTGGAACTGGACCATACACACACCGTAAGAAGTAGTAAATGTTGGGGCCGGCACTGTGGCACAGCGGGTAAAGCCACTGATTGCAGAACCCGCCTCCCATACGGGCGCCGGTTCGAGTTCCGGCTGTTCAACTTCCGATCCAGCTCTGGGCTGTGGCCTGGGAAAGCAGTAGAAGATGGCCCAAGTCCTTGGGCCCCTGCACCCGCGTGGGAGGCCCGGAAGGGGCTCCCGGCTCCGGATCGGTCCAGCTCCGACCGTTGCGGCCAACTGGGGAGTGAACCAGCGGATGAAGACCTCTCTCCCTCTAACTCTTTCAAATAAATAAAACTTTAAATGTAGTCTTATGTGACTCCTGTGTTTTTACCTAAGTATCCCGAACTCAACAAATTCATCAAAAAAAAAAAAAAAAACAAAAAAAAACCCAAGCCTCATCCCCCTCACGCAGTTCCTGCTAAGGGAAACCCCCGGCTCGCAGCCCCAGCAGGCTCCGTGCAAGCCGCTCCGCGCTCCCGGGGAAGGCGCCTCCGTCACCGCCCGGCCCTGGCGGCGGCGCTCGTCCCTCCGGCCCGGGCGGGCCTCCTCGGCCCAGCCTCTCCCGCTCCGGTCCGCTCAGGCCTGTGGACGGCAGCAGCGCGCGGCCACTGCGGGGCCGGGGCGCACCCCGGGGCGCACCCCGCGGCCCTCCGCCGGCGCCGCACAGCGCCCCAGCCCTTCGGCCGCCCGCGATCCTCCCGCTCCGCTCCGGCAGGCGATCGACGAGGACGACAAAAGACGAACCCCGCCGCCTGCGGGGAGACCTGCGGAGCCGACGCGGGGCGCGGCGCTGACAGGCCGGGCGGGCCGGGCGCGCGGACCGCGCGGCTCCCGGGAGCGGTTGGCGTCCGCGGGGCTGGGGGCGGGGCGGGCCGCAGCGCCCCCCAGCGGGCGGCGGCGGCGGCGGCGCGCGCGTCCCGGAGGCCGCGTCCGGCCGCGAGGCCCGCGCCGCGGCCCCGCCAACGCCCGCCGCCCGCCCGGGCCCGGGGGCGCGCAGGGGGCGCGCGGGGGCGCGCGGGGCCGCGGGGGCGGCGCGGCCGTTGGCCCGGGCCGGCCCCTCCCCCTCCCGCCGCGCCCGCCCCCCGCCCCGCGCCGCGCTTCCCCCTCTCGGACAAACTACGCCATTGCGGCCTAGCCGGGCGGCGCCCCCCCGGCCGCCATCTTCGCGGCCCGCCGCCGCCGCCGCCGCCGCCGCCCGCCGCCCGCCGCGCCCCCGCCGCGCCGCCATCTTTTGGGGCCGCCATACTTGCCTGGCGGAGAAGATGGCGGCGCCCATCGCACACATAAAACATGGCCTCCCTTCAAAACAAAAACATCCCGGGGCCGGCGCGCGGCCGGCGCTCACCTGAGGACCACATGGTGACCGAGAACTCGCCCTCCAGGGTCTTGATCTGCACCTGCTTCTGCTCCCACTTCTTGTTGCCCGGGTCGGCGCCGCCGCCGCCGCCGCCCGCCGCGCCGGCCCCGCCGCCCAGGTAACTCTTCTTGCCGCTCTTCTTGCCGCCGCCCTTCTTGACGCGGCCGCCGCCCGCCGACGACGAGCCGCCGCCGCCGCTCTTGCCGGCCGCCGCCACGGTGACCAGCGTCTGCTCGATGTAGTCGTCGTCGCCGCCGGCCGGCGCGGGCACCGGGATGAGGATCTGGTCCTCGAAGCCGTCCTCGGCGCGCAGCCCGTCCGAGTCGTCGCCGCCCACCACCTCCTCGCGCGTCTGCACCAGGATCACCTCCTGGTGGTGGTGCACCTGGGTCGGGTCGTCGGTGACGAGCGGCTGCAGCGCGATCATGGGCGGGTGGTGGTGGTGGTGGTGGTGGTGGTGGTGGTGGTGGCCGGCGTGGCCGTGGCCGCCCCCGCCGCCGTGGTCGCCGCCGCCGCCGCCGCCGTCCTCGTCGTCGTCGTCGTCCTCCTCCTCCTCGCCCACCACCGTGGTCTCGATGGTCTCCACCGGGATGGTCTCCACCTCGATCTCGTGCAGCTCCACGATCTCGGCCGGCATCTCCGAGCCGTCCGTGGCGATGTAGAGGGTGTCGCCCGAGGCCATGGCTGAGGGCTCCGCCGCCACGGCCGCGGCGGCCTCGGCTCCTCCGCTGCGGGCGGGCGGGCGAGGAGGCGGCCGGCCGTGGGGAAGGCAGGCAGAGGGAGGAAGGCGGCGAGCGGGCGGGGGGAGAGGGGGCGGGCGGCGGGGGGGAAGGGGCGGGCGCGGCGGCCGCGGCGGCGGCGGGGCTTCCCCGCCTCCCTCGCCTCGGTGCGCCCCGCGCTCGCTCGGCCGCTGCGCGTCCCGGCGGCCCGCCTCGCTCGCCGCAGCCCGCCCGCCCTGGCCGCGCCTCCTCCCGCCCTCGGGGCCGGCGTGCCGCTCGCCCCCTGCCTCCGGCGCCTCCGCCTCCTTCCACACAAATACCAACTCCTCAGCCCGAGCCCCAGATCTCGCCGCCGCGGCCGCCGCCACACTCCGCTCGGGCTCGGCCTCGCGAGACTTCCGCGCGGGCCTCGGCCCGCCCCGCCTCGCCGCCACTCGCCGGCTCGCCCGCCCGCCCCTCCCTGCTCGCCAATCGCCCGGCCGGGCTCTCGGCCTTGGCCCCGCCCCCTCGCCCGGACTCCTCCCGGATTGGGGCCGGTGCGACAGGGGGCGGGGCGGGCCTCACGCGCGCTGGCTGGCCTGCGGCGCGTGACGTCAGCGCGGCGCCGCTACCTCCCGCCGCTGCCGCTGCGCGTCGCGCGGCTCCCCGCCCTGCGCGGTGCACCCGCGACAGAGCCCGCTCCCCGGGGCCCGGGCCGCCCTCGAGAGCGGGAGTCGCCGCCGCCGCCGCCGTCGCTGGGGAGCCGGTGAGCGGGCCGCGCGGCCGCGGCGCCGTGGGAGCTGGAGATCGGGGTGCGGTGGGGGTGGGGGAGCGGGCCGAGCTCGGGGCTGCGCCGTGCGCCCCAATAAAGTCTGCTTTGACGAGAAACGCCTGTGCTTCGTTTTTCGCGCCGGGCGGCCTTCGCGGTCGGCGCCGGGCTCCTGGGTGAGTGCGGAGGACGGGGCCGGGCGGCGCCGCGCGCCGGGTGCGGGCCGGGCGGAAGCCGCGCGGGGCCGCGTCCACCGTTGGGAGGATGTCCGTTATTCTTTTGTGACCCGCGGAAACCGGAGGCGGAGCCGTTGGTGCCCGGCCGCTGCTCCTCGTGCCCGCCGCACCGGCTTGGCACGTCTCCGGGTTTTCCCTGCCGTGTTCTCCATCGCAGCTGCAGAGGAGCCCAGGGTTTTTGTCGTTTGTTTTGGGGTCCGCCCCCCAGGCGCAGGCTAGCGGCGAGCTCTCCCCGCCGAGTCGGGTCTGTCGCAGACACTGTTGGCTCGCACCCGTGCTCGGCGGAGCTGGCCGTGGACCGGCGGGTTGCGTCTGTGTGCTGCCCGGCCGACTTGGTGCCCGTGTGGCTTTGCGAGCGTTCACGCGTCTTGCATGCACTGTGTCTGCAGGCGATGCGGGCGGCTTGCTGTGCAGAGCGCGTTAGACGTGCGTGCGTTCCCAGAGTGGCTTCCCAGTGCTAGTCTGGGCTCGGTTTTCGAGAATATTCGTGCGGGGAGTGTGGTTTTCTCCTTGAGCTTTAAACCCTGAGTAATTCCCTTTTAGCGCTGCACCCACACAGCTTGAGTCGAGTCGTCTCTGGCTTCCCAGCTTACAAAGCCTCCATAAATATTTCATAAACGAAGCGAGCTGTGGGAGAATTTTTTGCATGGCTTAGCGCCTTTGCATTCCACTTTCCCACTCTAGTAACTGGTGCAGGTGATTGATGAGAGAGCAGGAGACAGGGAGGGACCCAGCGTCTGAGTGGGGTCTGTGGGCGTACACTCGCAGGCACACGGAGCCGGTAAGGGTCTCAGGAGCCGCGGGGGCGCCCCGAGTGCTGTCCCCGAGCAGGGGGCCTGCTCCGCGGTAGGAGAGCCTGCCTTCCACCCCTGCTGGGGAGGCAGAGAGAGAGAGAGAGGTCCTCCATCCACTGGGTCACTCCCCAAATGGCCGCAGCAGCTGGAGCTGGGCCAGTCGGAAGCCAGGACTCCCATCCCCCACTATGGGTGCAGGGGCCACTGCCTTCTCAGGCTGTCAGCACGGAGCTGGGTCGGAAGTGGAGCAGCCGGGACTCGAACTGGTGGCCACGTGGGATATGGGCGCTGCAGGCCAGGGCCCTAACCCTCTGCGCCACAGTGCCGGCCCCTGTGGGGTGTCTTCTCACACAGTGCTGTTGGCTCCGGCCTGCTTAGATTTGCTAAAGTTAAAACCAATGTAAGAGAAGAGGTTAAAGTGCAGTTTCAAAACCACTGTCTGTTTGGAGAGAGTGTTCAGCCCTGTGAATCCTTTTATTTTGGCAACAAGCCTCTAGATGGTTATTGTCACTTAGTGAAACTAATGTTTCCGATCTGTTTCCTTCCCACCCCTCTGGGCAACGGCCAGGCCTGGTCTGTCAAAGCTGAGTGCCTTGTAGGTGGGTGCCGGCTTGCTTTTTGTTTCATGCCACAAAATGAGGCCGAAAGCTCTTTGAAAACGCCCTAACTTCCTGTGAAGAGTCAGTCCACTGGGAGAGTGAGTGAACAACCGTAGTAGAAGGATGGAGACCACTGGACCCCTCACGATAACAGTTGTGCCTCGCCGTCTAGCATGTCTGAGAAACCAGAGCAGGAGAATGGCTGGGGAGGAGTGATGACAGCCTGATCCAGACAGCAGCAGGACGAAGACACCGGCTATTACCAGCAACTCGCGGGCTGCCGCTCAAACTGATGTCCTTTCCCAGTGCGTGTGCTTCTGAAACGGCCATTAGATGCCGGATTTGAATTTAGAGAGCATGTGGTTCAGGGAGGGAGGAGGGCAGGAGCGGGCCGAATAAGGATGTCCCTTCAAAAGATGCTGGCGCCTCCTTGGTTCGGAGAGTGAGCGCCTCGTGAGGAGGCGGGCTGCTGCACCCAAGCCTGCCGTGTTTTCTCTTTCCAGCAGATTGAGGTTGATTCAAGCGGTGAATTCACGCTAAATGCAGACTAATTTGGCTGCCTCCTAATTGCTTTTTGGCTAGTTGTGACGCCTAGTTCTTTTGCAGTTAACCTCAAGTCGGAAGCTGGTGTGCTCCGGCTGCCTTAGCGCTGAGACCTAGGGCCTGCGGGGCGTCTAGTCCAGTGTCCTCCTTGTGTAGACCAGGAGTGCCGCCGAGAGGCGACGCAAGGTCACATAGGTGGTGAAGGCAGTGATGGGCTGGAGTGGGAGCCAGACTTGCCTGCCTTTTGTTTGGGTGGTGGAACCTTGTTCCAGTCGAGATCCATGCCCAGTGTCCGGTGAAATGTTTAGAAACATCAGGATGAAAATGTGTGTGCATGCGGCTAAACCAGTTACCCCCAATTTGCAGCCATACAAGTTACAGGAAAAATGGTAGGTGTGTTTTCTTTTGTTTTTAAAGATTTATTTACTGGTTTATGCAAAAGAGCGAGAGGGAAGGTAGGGAGATAAATAGATCTTTTTTTTTTTTTTTTTTTGACAGGCAGAGTGGACAGTGAGAGAGAGAGACAGAGAGAAAGGTCTTCCTTTGCCGTTGGTTCACCCTCCAATGGCCGCCGCGGCCGGTGCACTGTGGCCGGCACACCGCGCTGATCCGATGGCAGGAGCCAAGTACTTCTCCTGGTCTCCCATGGGGTGCAGGGCCCAAGCACTTGGGCCATCCTCCACTGCACTCCCGGGCCACAGCAGAGAGCTGGCCTGGAAGAGGGGCAACCGGGACAGAATCCAGCGCCCCGACCGGGACTAGAACCCGGTGTGCCGGCGCCGCAAGGTGGAGGATTAGCCTAGTGAACCGCGGCGCCGGCCCGGGAGATAGATCTTTTATCTGCTAGTTCACTCAACAGCTGGGGCTCAGCCAGGCTGAAGCCAGGAACCCGGAACTCTATCCTGGTCTCCCACATGGTGGCAGGGGCCCTAGTACTTGGGCCATCTTCTGCTGCCTTCACAGACCCACTAGCAGGAAGTCAAACTGGCTCTCCGATATACGATGCTGGCATAGCACAGTACTGGCCTGGATAGGTGTGTTTTCTTAACTGTCTACACTATAGATACTTTTTTTCTGGTTGTGGGCAATTGAAGGGACACTTTTCCCCCAAAATCAAGGCATATATTAGGTTAGAAACTTCAGTTTAGTGAAATGATGTGTCTGTGTTGATAAGATCACATAATATGTCTTAAAGCTAGCACCATTTATACAACATTTTATTTTATATCCTTTTATAAGGTCTTAATCAAATCCTTTTTCTTGAACTGCGTGGTTTGTAAACAGTGAATGAATCCAGGATGGAACAGATATAAGGAACACTGACCTCTTAGTAACAGATCAGCTTTGCTCTGCCCCACAGAGAAGGACCAACCTGGCCCAGGCCCGTCCCACCCGCCACCCCCGGGACCCGGGAACGCGGAGGGCGCGGCGGAACGAGTGAATGGAAGGTCCCTCACCCACGGCAGCCTTCCCAGCCGCGCTGTTCCACTGTGCACTCGCCGAGTGTGGAAACGCAGGCGGCTGACTTAGTGTGGGGGGGGTGGGTTAGTGTGTGTGTGTGAGGTGGGCTAGTGCGTGTGTGTGAGGTCAGCTTCTGGGCTGTGAGGTGGGTTAGTGTGCGTGTGTGAGGTGGGCTAATGTGTGTGTGTGAGGTGGGTTTGTGTGTGTGTGTGTGAGGTGGGTTTGTGTGTGTGTGTGAGGTGGGTTAGTGTGTGTGAGGTGGGCTAGTGTGTGTGAGGTGGGTTAGTGTGTGTGTGTGAGGTGGGTTAGTGTGTGCGTGTGTGTGAGGTGGGTTAGTGTGTGCGTGTGTGTGAGGTGGGCTAATGTGTGTGTGTGAGGTGGGTTTGTGTGTGTGTGTGTGAGGTGGGTTAGTGTGTGTGTGTGAGGTGGGCTAGTGTGTGTGAGGTGGGTTAGTGTGTGTGTGTGAGGTGGGTTAGTGTGTGTGTGTGAGGTGGGTTAGTGTGTGCATGTGTGTGAGGTGGGTTAGTGTGTGTGTGAGGTGGGTTAGCACATGTGTGTGTGAGGTGGGTTAGTGTGTGTGAGGTAGGTTAGCATGTGTGTGTGTGTGTGAGGTGGGTTAGTGTGTGTGAGGTGGGTTAGTGCGTGTGTGTGAGGTGGGTTAGTGCGTGTGTGTGAGGTGGGTTAGTGTGTGTGTGTGTGAGGTGGGTCAGTGTGTGTGGGGGGGT